AGGTCTGTCTGATACCCATGGGTAAATAGGCCTGTCAGTAGCGGGCTGGTCTGTGCGAGTAGTATGGCGTGGATCTGGGCAGTTGGGCGGGTCAGTGCGTCGGCAATGTTCGATGCTCCCTTTTTATAGGTGACCGTGTAGTGGAAGTTTGACTCGAGGAAATCGAGCCAGCGGATCTGTCGTGGGTTGAGGTGGGGCTGTGCGCGGAGGTACTGTAGTGATCGGTGGTCTGTCCGTACTGTCACGTCTGCGACAGTCAAGTAACAGCGCCATACCTTGAATGCATGTACGATCGCGAGCATTTCGCGGTCGTGTATCGGATAATTCTTCTCGGGCGGATGCAGCTTTCGCGACTCGTATGCGATGGGCTGTAATCCGTTGCCGAAATCCTGTAGCAGTACGGCTCCAATGGCGATGTCGCTTGCGTCTGTAACGACTTCGAATGGGCGGTGTGGGTCGGCAATGCGCAGTACGGACGGTGAACAGATAACATTTTTAAGGGCAGAGAAGGCAGCATGCTCTTTCTCCCCCCACGTAAAAGCGACCCCCTTCCGCAGTAAATCCGTCAGCAGGGCGGTTAACCGTGCCATGTCGGGGACAAACCGACGCACATAATTAACGAACCCTAAAAAACTCTGCAGCTCCGTGATGTTTGTCGGGGGGTGCCATGCTTTTACCGTGTCCAGCTTCTTTGGGTCGATCTCAACTCCAGCCTCCGAAACAACGTGCCCCAAAAACTCTAACCTATCCTGGAAGAACTCGCACTTGGAACCCTTGGTCAGTAGTCTGTGCTCATCTAAAACTTTAAACACTGCTTCCAGATCTGCTAAGTGCTGCTGCTTATCGCGACTGTAGACGAGGATGTCGTCAAGGTAAACTATCACGCATTTATCTAAGAGTGGTCAGCCCGAATGGCATCGTGGTGTACTCGAATGACCCATACCGAATTCTAAATGCCGTTTTTACGCAGTCCGATGGTTCGACCCGAATCTGGTGGTAACCTCCGCGTAAGTCAATTTTCGAAAAGACCCGTGCTGTTCGTAGTTGATCTATCAGTTCGTCGGCGCGGGGAATGGGGTATCGCGACTTGACTGTTACCCTGTTCAGTGCTCTGTAGTCGATACACATGCGAAAACCTCCGTCTTTTTTCGGTGTGAACAGTATCGGTGCGGCGAACAGTGACGAGCTCGGTCGGATGATTTTTTTTCTCTAACATGTAATCTTACTGCTTCCTCAGTTCATCGAGCTCTGGCTGTGTCAGTCGGAATTGTCGCTGTACAGTTGGCTATGCCCCTGGTTCTAACTCTATTCGGTGGTCATGTGCCCGCTGAGGTGGCAGTCCTTCTGGTAAATCGTCCGGAAAAATCCCCGGGTACCGTTTCAACAGTTCCCGTAGTTCGGGCGGTACCGCTGCCAACAGTTTCTGAAAATCGCTCGGCTGCTCTGCTTCTCCTACCAATGCTATATCCACTGTGTACACGTCAGCTCCAGCGGCGACAGCCCGTTTCATCGTGATGGCGTTGACGTGGACCGTTGAAGACTCGGGCGACTGCCAGCGAGGTAGCACGACCCAGTTACCGCTGCTTCGCACAGTGCAGCTACCCGTCGTCCAGTCGATTCGCGGATTATACCGTCGCAGCCAGTCACGTCCCAGTAAAACGTCGTGCCCATCCAGTGTCGTCGCGAGCATTTCCTGTGTAAACCCAAAGTTCCCTCCGCAGCGGACTTTTACTCTTTCCACCTTCTCCCGTATGGCCAGCGGCGTGCCGTCGACTAAGCGTGCATCTACCTCCGGTAAACACCGACTAAGTGTCAGTTGCAGCTTCCGTGCGGTTGCGGTATTAACTAAGCTGTGACTTGCTCCTCCGTCGATAAAAATCTTCACTGCTGCTCCCTGTATTTTCCCGTGAATCAGTACTGGGCAATCCGTCGCTGTACCCTCCTTATTCATCCGAGCCCGATCGATAGCGTGTGTTAGAAAGTACGAAACAGGAATGATGAAAGGAGAGGATGTTCACTAGCAAGCAGGTGGATACATATAGGAAACCCTAAGGGGTCATACTCACTACAGAGTACCCCACTGCAGGCTAGACAATAATAACATTCTGACATGAATCGGTACTGTGACTCGGTGAGGGTCGGTGAGGTTGGGCGAGCAGGTTGTCTCGTCAGTAGTTGGCCCGTTTTCTACTGACTGCTGGCGTTTCCCTGCCTCTGAGACTCCCTTCCCTGCTCTGCTCCGCGGCGTCTCTGCTCCTCTGGGCATTCGCTCTTGCGATGGCCCGGCCTATTGCAAGCAAAGCAGCGCCCCTTAAATGGCGCAGCAGCTGCATTCGCCGCAACGGCGTGTACGGTGGCGTGCTCGGTCGGTCCCCGAGGGCGATGTCCGTAGTAGGACCCCGGTCTCGGACGGCGCAAAATGTCAATTTTCTCGGCGAGCACGAGGATCTCGTTGAAATTCGAGAGCCCGCGTAGCATGATTTCGTGCGAGATGTCCGGCTTCAACCCTCCGACGTAACGGTCCACCCGCTCCGCTTCGTGCATGTAGCCGACTTGCTCGCATAATGCGAGAAAACCGCTAGTGTAGTCTTGGACCGACCCAAGTTGTCGCCAAGTACGCAGTTTCTGACGCGCCGAAATAGAAGCCGCAATCGGCTCGAAGCGCGCTCGAAGCCCTGCGCACCACGCATCCCACGTGCTGTACTTGGCGGTTTCGCAGAACGAACTCCAGGTGACGGCTGGACCCGTGGGCTCTTCCTCTTGCGACGGAGGCTCGTAGGCGCGTGGCGACGTCACAATGACTCGCCACCAGTCCATGGCGGGCCCCCTTAGCAGCGAAACAGCGTTTCGAATCTTCGCTGCGTCCGACTCGACGTAGTTCGCGTCGAAAAGGACGTTCATCGTGAAGACCCACGATTGAACCGTCGGACCTCCTCGTTGGCTCGCGTCGAAGCAGGGCGGGCGCTGCGGTTTGAGCGGCATCGGCGCGACAATGTCGTTGTTGCCGATTGTTGCCGCAAATTCAACGTGACGACGGGCTTCGCGAGGCCCGCTCGTGCTTGGTACAGCCCTGTTCCTCCCCATGCCAGGCATTGACTGGGCGGCGCCATCACTGGCTGCGCCTGAGCGCTGTCCCACGCTGTCGTGATGTGACGGTGTGCCGGACGAGATGACAATCGGCTCATCCGATTGCACAGGTGCATTTGCGGGTGCTTGTGATGGTGCTGGCGCATTCATCGTTGATTGTTGGCGGGCGGAGTCACATTCCACCGTGAGTGTCGCGATTTCGAGCGCCGAATCTTCGAGTTGGCGCACGAGACGGTCGAGCTGCTCCTGCGTCAGTGTCGCAAGATTAATTTCGGCCATGGCGGGGGTGTCGGGCAAACTCAACGAGAGCCTCTGTCGTGGCCGTGCGTGCTTACGAGAGAGCACTTCGAGCGGCGGTGCTTGTACGCTGAGAGACGTCTACCCCCCCCCAAAAGTGAAATAGTGGGGAAGCGAAGGTGTGGGTGCGGTCCGAGAGGAGATCGTAGGCTCTGATACCAAGTGTTACGAGTGCAATTGAGCGAGCGAGCGAGAATTGCACTATCGAAGCAAACAATACAGTTGAGCGAAAAGCATGAGCGAAGTTATATAGCGAGGCTAGCATGGTAACGGTAATGCGGGAAATTGGGGTGCGCTACGGGCCTAGCGCCGAGGTTTGGGAAGTTGTCGAGGCGGAGGTCCGGAGCGCGGGTTACCAACCGAACTGTTAGGTTGGGTCGCATCGTGAACGGTGGCGGGAGTCGTGGTCGAGGCGAATGTCGCGAGCGGGTAACGTTCACGGATGGGTGCTGATGGCGGGAACAGGCATGTACGCGGTAAGCAGGGACGCGAAGTAAGGAAAAGGAACTTTCCTTACACATATGAAGAGGTGTTAGGGAGATCACAGGTTTCTACCGTCTTTTCAGGAATCTGCACAACCAGTATGTTACACGGTATATTGAGAAGGCTTATATGGTAGTAAAGAGCCAAGACACCTGCCACTGTACAGACAAGAGTTTACCCACAAGCACAACTCAGCAACTGTACGCCTGCCACTGCAAGTCAGACAATTGTGGAAGGGGGGTCCAGTTTGTACAATATGTCCCCCTTTGTTGTGGCGGAGAGAGAACAGAAAGGGCAAAGTACCCCTTTTTGTACACCCGTTTTCCCGACATTGTTAGTCGGTTACATACAGATCGAAAAGTCGCCAGTCTTCGCCCCACTGGAATAGGCGTAGGCGAAAACAGCCCCCACCGGGCCCCGAATCTTACTCAGGAAGCACTGTTGTTGCAGATTTGCAATCAGTGTCCTCAAGCAACGCAATCCATAGCGCCAGTGTTGATACTCGGCACAGTGCCTTGCTTCACACAGCGCTCTGACAGGGTGAATCTGGCCTACAACTCTGTCCGGAGGGCCCCCAGCCCAAAACATCCCATCTCCCGACCCGACCCGAGAACCCATTTTTGGGTGCTCAACCAAGTCGGCTAAAGTTTCGGAGTTTGTGACGTAGATACATAGCTTTAATTTGGCGTCCCCTACGTGACTCCCGTCCCTCCCGTCCCATGTACCTATGTCTCCCACCCATGCTTCTGTCGTCACATACTTCCCTTCCACCTCTGGAGGGGTGTCTCAAGTGGGGTGGTGGGGACGTCGAGAAACCTCGAAATATGTCAAGTCAAGAGAGCTGAACTGTCAGAATTTGGTCCAGCATCCGACGGTTCACTTCACAGGCTCTCGGCATTTCGTGACGCTTGTCGACGTCCCCTCCCAGCGTAAGACACCCTCCAGTTCTTCAGTTTTGCACCGCCACACCCTCCCTGTACCATCCTCCTGGCGTATCTATTGCTACCAACCACACTCAGAACAATGTCTCGTCATAACCCTAGGTAGTTGCGGCCTACTAAAGTTTCTAGCCCTGCCGTAGCCAAGTTCCGAGCAGGCCTGCTTCTTGCGTCGCCGTAGTACTACTAGCGGCGATGGCGGAGGCGGTCGCAGTAGTGCGCGCGAAAAAGAAGGCGGAGGCGAATGGCGAAAGGGAAGGGGCGGTGCTGACGCGGTCGGAGAGTTTGCTGGACGAGAAGTTCGACGCGTATGAGGCGGCCAACTACCGCATGTGGGCTCGATCCAAATCCGACGCTTCCAGGTGAGCCGAGCATCGCGTTTGCGTGAAGGCTAGTTACTACGAATGCAGCTTTGATCAGCAGGAAATTAGTCGTAACTTGTGAAGACCTTGTGTGGTCTCCTTAGTGCATCTTCAAATTCTCAAGAAAAGCACGTGATTGAGTTCCGCCCGTTTCTCTTACGCTCCGCCAATTTCCAACTCTTCCGCCTTTGAAAGGCGCAAGCCGCCTTCGGGGTCTCGCAGCCAAGAGCAGCTCAACTTGGATTTCCTTGATAGCTATGGATACGCGCCACGAAATGCGGAGCTCATGACACGTGTCGAAGAAAGCTCGTCGATCAATCAGGTCACAAAGAGAGACAAGGGAGGGCAGGGTTACGGCGGCGACGGGGTCTGCAGGGGGGATTGCGCGGAAAACGGAGCGGCCGAGAGGTTGACGGAGGAAGGGAGAGTTGGCGGAGAGAGTTTGAAGACTAGGGGAGCGCGGGACAGCAGCGGCAACAGCAGCAGCACAACCAGTCACGAGAGCGCGGCGGAGGACGAGAGGGGACTGCGCGGCTTCCTGCAGTATTGCCGCAAGAAGATCAGGCGAGCAAGCACGAGCGCCGACGAGAGCTGCGCGGATGGCGCGGATGGCGCGGATGGCGCGGATAGCGAGGATGGCGCGGAGGGCGGAGAGGGGAAGGCGACCGCGGCGGGAGGTCCGCTGAAGCGCAGCTTGACGGAGGATACGACGGGGAAGACCATGGCGCGGGGCGCGCTTGACGGCTTGGCGCGCTCGGCCAGCGACGTCACTCTGCAGGACGCGGAGATGGACGAGATGGACAGAGAGGTGCTGCAAGGTGCGCCCAGGTTCAGAGCGGTGCTTTACTGTTGGGCTGTGGGCCGACGCGCGTGGTGTTCCGCGCCACCCGCACCTTTCTCTCGCTGCTGCTCGTAACCGCCTCAAGTCCCCGTGACGCCCTTTCTCCTGTAATCCCTCCCAATTTGTCCCCCCTCCCCTCTTGCGCGTGTGGCAGAGGCGTTCTTGCGCGTGGTGGGGCTGCAGCAGCGCGTGCAGCACTACCGCGACCTGGGCGGCTTCGTGGTGCTCATGGCGCTCTTCATCACCATCCTCTACCTTCAGGCTGATTCTTCTCGAAGCTACGAAATCACCGCCGCGCACGCCGTGCTCTTCCCCCCTGTATGTTCCTGTATGTTCCGAAATGCTGCATGCTTTCCTTCTCCTTGCCTCTGTCCTCTACCCGCCTGTATGCTCTGCTCCCCACTTCCGCTGCTCTCACCCTCTTCCGCGCATCCAACGTAGCGCGCATTCAACCGTTTGGTTATCTAATCTAGCGTGCATTTTTTTCTAGTGTGCATTTTTATCCAGCGTGCATTTTTATGTAGCGTGGATTTTATGTAGCGTGCATTTTTATCTAGCGTGCATTTCTAACCAGTGTGCATTTTTATCTAGCGTGAATATTTATCTAGCGTGCGTATAAATCTAGCGTGCAATTTTATCTAGCGTGCATTTTTATCTAGCGTGCATTTTTATCTAGCGTGCATTTTTATCTAGCGTGCAATCTAGCATTCATATAAATCTAGCGTGCAATTTTATCTAGCTTGCATATAAATCTAGCTGCATTCAAACCAACGTGCATTAGAACTCAAGCTGTGCCCTTGCCTAGTTCCCTCCACTATTGCCGCTTCTCCTCCCAGAGTCCCCGTCACTTCTCCTCTCCCTCCGCCCTGCGTGCGTCTCTCCCCGCCTGAGAGCAGGGCATGAGTCAGGACTCCTCCAACACTTTCTCTGGTCCCAATGACTTTTACAATTGGCTCAACACCAGCATCGTGCAGGTGCGCCCCCCCCCCTTCTCCCGCTCGTCTCTGCATCATCGCTCCTCCTGCACCTGCCGTGTGCTGGCCCCTGCTCCCCACATCCAAACCTGCCCCACCGCACCGCCTGCCCATGCCACATCACACCTCTCGCTTGCGCGCATCACACCTCTCTCTTGCCCGTGTCACACCTCTTTCTTGCCCGCGTCACAGTCCGCACACACGCAGCTCGTCTCCTCCTCACTCCCCCCCACTCCCCCTGCCCCCCCTGCAGAGTCTGTGGGCGGACCCCACGTGTGGCGACGGCTCATGCTGTGCTCGCCCTCTGCATGGTCGACCCCGTCTCCCTCTGCTGGTATGCTGTGCTCGCCCTCTGCATGGTCGACCCCGTCTCCCTCTGCTGGTATGCTGTGCTCGCCCTCTGCATGGTCGACCCCGTCTCCCTCTGCTGGTATGCTGTGCTCGCCCTCTGCATGGTCGACCCCGTCTCCCTCTGCTGGTATGCTGTGCTCGCCCTCTGCATGGTCGACCCCGTCTCCCTCTGCTGGTATGCTGTGCTCGCCCTCTGCATGGTCGACCCCGTCTCCCTCTGCTGGTATGCTGTGCTCGCCCTCTGCATGGTCGACCCCGTCTCCCTCTGCTGGTATGCTGTGCTCGCCCTCTGCATGGTCGACCCCGTCTCCCTCTGCTGGTATGCTGTGCTCGCCCTCTGCATGGTCGACCCCGTCTCCCTCTGCTGGTATGCTGTGCTCGCCCTCTGCATGGTCGACCCCGTCTCCCTCTGCTGGTATGCTGTGCTCGCCCTCTGCATGGTCGACCCCGTCTCCCTCTGCTGGTATGCTGTGCTCGCCCTCTGCATGGTCGACCCCGTCTCCCTCTGCTGGTATGCTGTGCTCGCCCTCTGCATGGTCGACCCCGTCTCCCTCTGCTGGTATGCTGTGCTCGCCCTCTGCATGGTCGACCCCGTCTCCCTCTGCTGGTATGCTGTGCTCGCCCTCTGCATGGTCGACCCCGTCTCCCTCTGCTGGTATGCTGTGCTCGCCCTCTGCATGGTCGACCCCGTCTCCCTCTGCTGGTATGCTGTGCTCGCCCTCTGCATGGTCGACCCCGTCTCCCTCTGCTGGTATGCTGTGCTCGCCCTCTGCATGGTCGACCCCGTCTCCCTCTGCTGGTATGCTGTGCTCGCCCTCTGCATGGTCGACCCCGTCTCCCTCTGCTGGTATGCTGTGCTCGCCCTCTGCATGGTCGACCCCGTCTCCCTCTGCTGGTATGCTGTGCTCGCCCTCTGCATGGTCGACCCCGTCTCCCTCTGCTGGTATGCTGTGCTCGCCCTCTGCATGGTCGACCCCGTCTCCCTCTGCTGGTATGCTGTGCTCGCCCTCTGCATGGTCGACCCCGTCTCCCTCTGCTGGTATGCTGTGCTCGCCCTCTGCATGGTCGACCCCGTCTCCCTCTGCTGGTATGCTGTGCTCGCCCTCTGCATGGTCGACCCCGTCTCCCTCTGCTGGTATGCTGTGCTCGCCCTCTGCATGGTCGACCCCGTCTCCCTCTGCTGGTATGCTGTGCTCGCCCTCTGCATGGTCGACCCCGTCTCCCTCTGCTGGTATGCTGTGCTCGCCCTCTGCATGGTCGACCCCGTCTCCCTCTGCTGGTATGCTGTGCTCGCCCTCTGCATGGTCGACCCCGTCTCCCTCTGCTGGTATGCTGTGCTCGCCCTCTGCATGGTCGACCCCGTCTCCCTCTGCTGGTATGCTGTGCTCGCCCTCTGCATGGTCGACCCCGTCTCCCTCTGCTGGTATGCTGTGCTCGCCCTCTGCATGGTCGACCCCGTCTCCCTCTGCTGGTATGCTGTGCTCGCCCTCTGCATGGTCGACCCCGTCTCCCTCTGCTGGTATGCTGTGCTCGCCCTCTGCATGGTCGACCCCGTCTCCCTCTGCTGGTATGCTGTGCTCGCCCTCTGCATGGTCGACCCCGTCTCCCTCTGCTGGTATGCTGTGCTCGCCCTCTGCATGGTCGACCCCGTCTCCCTCTGCTGGTATGCTGTGCTCGCCCTCTGCATGGTCGACCCCGTCTCCCTCTGCTGGTATGCTGTGCTCGCCCTCTGCATGGTCGACCCCGTCTCCCTCTGCTGGTATGCTGTGCTCGCCCTCTGCATGGTCGACCCCGTCTCCCTCTGCTGGTATGCTGTGCTCGCCCTCTGCATGGTCGACCCCGTCTCCCTCTGCTGGTATGCTGTGCTCGCCCTCTGCATGGTCGACCCCGTCTCCCTCTGCTGGTATGCTGTGCTCGCCCTCTGCATGGTCGACCCCGTCTCCCTCTGCTGGTATGCTGTGCTCGCCCTCTGCATGGTCGACCCCGTCTCCCTCTGCTGGTATGCTGTGCTCGCCCTCTGCATGGTCGACCCCGTCTCCCTCTGCTGGTATGCTGTGCTCGCCCTCTGCATGGTCGACCCCGTCTCCCTCTGCTGGTATGCTGTGCTCGCCCTCTGCATGGTCGACCCCGTCTCCCTCTGCTGGTATGCTGTGCTCGCCCTCTGCATGGTCGACCCCGTCTCCCTCTGCTGGTATGCTGTGCTCGCCCTCTGCATGGTCGACCCCGTCTCCCTCTGCTGGTATGCTGTGCTCGCCCTCTGCATGGTCGACCCCGTCTCCCTCTGCTGGTATGCTGTGCTCGCCCTCTGCATGGTCGACCCCGTCTCCCTCTGCTGGTATGCTGTGCTCGCCCTCTGCATGGTCGACCCCGTCTCCCTCTGCTGGTATGCTGTGCTCGCCCTCTGCATGGTCGACCCCGTCTCCCTCTGCTGGTATGCTGTGCTCGCCCTCTGCATGGTCGACCCCGTCTCCCTCTGCTGGTATGCTGTGCTCGCCCTCTGCATGGTCGACCCCGTCTCCCTCTGCTGGTATGCTGTGCTCGCCCTCTGCATGGTCGACCCCGTCTCCCTCTGCTGGTATGCTGTGCTCGCCCTCTGCATGGTCGACCCCGTCTCCCTCTGCTGGTATGCTGTGCTCGCCCTCTGCATGGTCGACCCCGTCTCCCTCTGCTGGTATGCTGTGCTCGCCCTCTGCATGGTCGACCCCGTCTCCCTCTGCTGGTATGCTGTGCTCGCCCTCTGCATGGTCGACCCCGTCTCCCTCTGCTGGTATGCTGTGCTCGCCCTCTGCATGGTCGACCCCGTCTCCCTCTGCTGGTATGCTGTGCTCGCCCTCTGCATGGTCGACCCCGTCTCCCTCTGCTGGTATGCTGTGCTCGCCCTCTGCATGGTCGACCCCGTCTCCCTCTGCTGGTATGCTGTGCTCGCCCTCTGCATGGTCGACCCCGTCTCCCTCTGCTGGTATGCTGTGCTCGCCCTCTGCATGGTCGACCCCGTCTCCCTCTGCTGGTATGCTGTGCTCGCCCTCTGCATGGTCGACCCCGTCTCCCTCTGCTGGTATGCTGTGCTCGCCCTCTGCATGGTCGACCCCGTCTCCCTCTGCTGGTATGCTGTGCTCGCCCTCTGCATGGTCGACCCCGTCTCCCTCTGCTGGTATGCTGTGCTCGCCCTCTGCATGGTCGACCCCGTCTCCCTCTGCTGGTATGCTGTGCTCGCCCTCTGCATGGTCGACCCCGTCTCCCTCTGCTGGTATGCTGTGCTCGCCCTCTGCATGGTCGACCCCGTCTCCCTCTGCTGGTATGCTGTGCTCGCCCTCTGCATGGTCGACCCCGTCTCCCTCTGCTGGTATGCTGTGCTCGCCCTCTGCATGGTCGACCCCGTCTCCCTCTGCTGGTATGCTGTGCTCGCCCTCTGCATGGTCGACCCCGTCTCCCTCTGCTGGTATGCTGTGCTCGCCCTCTGCATGGTCGACCCCGTCTCCCTCTGCTGGTATGCTGTGCTCGCCCTCTGCATGGTCGACCCCGTCTCCCTCTGCTGGTATGCTGTGCTCGCCCTCTGCATGGTCGACCCCGTCTCCCTCTGCTGGTATGCTGTGCTCGCCCTCTGCATGGTCGACCCCGTCTCCCTCTGCTGGTATGCTGTGCTCGCCCTCTGCATGGTCGACCCCGTCTCCCTCTGCTGGTATGCTGTGCTCGCCCTCTGCATGGTCGACCCCGTCTCCCTCTGCTGGTATGCTGTGCTCGCCCTCTGCATGGTCGACCCCGTCTCCCTCTGCTGGTATGCTGTGCTCGCCCTCTGCATGGTCGACCCCGTCTCCCTCTGCTGGTATGCTGTGCTCGCCCTCTGCATGGTCGACCCCGTCTCCCTCTGCTGGTATGCTGTGCTCGCCCTCTGCATGGTCGACCCCGTCTCCCTCTGCTGGTATGCTGTGCTCGCCCTCTGCATGGTCGACCCCGTCTCCCTCTGCTGGTATGCTGTGCTCGCCCTCTGCATGGTCGACCCCGTCTCCCTCTGCTGGTATGCTGTGCTCGCCCTCTGCATGGTCGACCCCGTCTCCCTCTGCTGGTATGCTGTGCTCGCCCTCTGCATGGTCGACCCCGTCTCCCTCTGCTGGTATGCTGTGCTCGCCCTCTGCATGGTCGACCCCGTCTCCCTCTGCTGGTATGCTGTGCTCGCCCTCTGCATGGTCGACCCCGTCTCCCTCTGCTGGTATGCTGTGCTCGCCCTCTGCATGGTCGACCCCGTCTCCCTCTGCTGGTATGCTGTGCTCGCCCTCTGCATGGTCGACCCCGTCTCCCTCTGCTGGTATGCTGTGCTCGCCCTCTGCATGGTCGACCCCGTCTCCCTCTGCTGGTATGCTGTGCTCGCCCTCTGCATGGTCGACCCCGTCTCCCTCTGCTGGTATGCTGTGCTCGCCCTCTGCATGGTCGACCCCGTCTCCCTCTGCTGGTATGCTGTGCTCGCCCTCTGCATGGTCGACCCCGTCTCCCTCTGCTGGTATGCTGTGCTCGCCCTCTGCATGGTCGACCCCGTCTCCCTCTGCTGGTATGCTGTGCTCGCCCTCTGCATGGTCGACCCCGTCTCCCTCTGCTGGTATGCTGTGCTCGCCCTCTGCATGGTCGACCCCGTCTCCCTCTGCTGGTATGCTGTGCTCGCCCTCTGCATGGTCGACCCCGTCTCCCTCTGCTGGTATGCTGTGCTCGCCCTCTGCATGGTCGACCCCGTCTCCCTCTGCTGGTATGCTGTGCTCGCCCTCTGCATGGTCGACCCCGTCTCCCTCTGCTGGTATGCTGTGCTCGCCCTCTGCATGGTCGACCCCGTCTCCCTCTGCTGGTATGCTGTGCTCGCCCTCTGCATGGTCGACCCCGTCTCCCTCTGCTGGTATGCTGTGCTCGCCCTCTGCATGGTCGACCCCGTCTCCCTCTGCTGGTATGCTGTGCTCGCCCTCTGCATGGTCGACCCCGTCTCCCTCTGCTGGTATGCTGTGCTCGCCCTCTGCATGGTCGACCCCGTCTCCCTCTGCTGGTATGCTGTGCTCGCCCTCTGCATGGTCGACCCCGTCTCCCTCTGCTGGTATGCTGTGCTCGCCCTCTGCATGGTCGACCCCGTCTCCCTCTGCTGGTATGCTGTGCTCGCCCTCTGCATGGTCGACCCCGTCTCCCTCTGCTGGTATGCTGTGCTCGCCCTCTGCATGGTCGACCCCGTCTCCCTCTGCTGGTATGCTGTGCTCGCCCTCTGCATGGTCGACCCCGTCTCCCTCTGCTGGTATGCTGTGCTCGCCCTCTGCATGGTCGACCCCGTCTCCCTCTGCTGGTATGCTGTGCTCGCCCTCTGCATGGTCGACCCCGTCTCCCTCTGCTGGTATGCTGTGCTCGCCCTCTGCATGGTCGACCCCGTCTCCCTCTGCTGGTATGCTGTGCTCGCCCTCTGCATGGTCGACCCCGTCTCCCTCTGCTGGTATGCTGTGCTCGCCCTCTGCATGGTCGACCCCGTCTCCCTCTGCTGGTATGCTGTGCTCGCCCTCTGCATGGTCGACCCCGTCTCCCTCTGCTGGTATGCTGTGCTCGCCCTCTGCATGGTCGACCCCGTCTCCCTCTGCTGGTATGCTGTGCTCGCCCTCTGCATGGTCGACCCCGTCTCCCTCTGCTGGTATGCTGTGCTCGCCCTCTGCATGGTCGACCCCGTCTCCCTCTGCTGGTATGCTGTGCTCGCCCTCTGCATGGTCGACCCCGTCTCCCTCTGCTGGTATGCTGTGCTCGCCCTCTGCATGGTCGACCCCGTCTCCCTCTGCTGGTATGCTGTGCTCGCCCTCTGCATGGTCGACCCCGTCTCCCTCTGCTGGTATGCTGTGCTCGCCCTCTGCATGGTCGACCCCGTCTCCCTCTGCTGGTATGCTGTGCTCGCCCTCTGCATGGTCGACCCCGTCTCCCTCTGCTGGTATGCTGTGCTCGCCCTCTGCATGGTCGACCCCGTCTCCCTCTGCTGGTATGCTGTGCTCGCCCTCTGCATGGTCGACCCCGTCTCCCTCTGCTGGTATGCTGTGCTCGCCCTCTGCATGGTCGACCCCGTCTCCCTCTGCTGGTATGCTGTGCTCGCCCTCTGCATGGTCGACCCCGTCTCCCTCTGCTGGTATGCTGTGCTCGCCCTCTGCATGGTCGACCCCGTCTCCCTCTGCTGGTATGCTGTGCTCGCCCTCTGCATGGTCGACCCCGTCCCTGCTGGTATGCTGTGCTCGCCCTCTGCATGGTCGACCCCGTCTCCCTCTGCTGGTATGCTGTGCTCGCCCTCTGCATGGTCGACCCCGTCTCCCTCTGCTGGTATGCTGTGCTCGCCCTCTGCATGGTCGACCCCGTCTCCCTCTGCTGGTATGCTGTGCTCGCCCTCTGCATGGTCGACCCCGTCTCCCTCTGCTGGTATGCTGTGCTCGCCCTCTGCATGGTCGACCCCGTCTCCCTCTGCTGGTATGCTGTGCTCGCCCTCTGCATGGTCGACCCCGTCTCCCTCTGCTGGTATGCTGTGCTCGCCCTCTGCATGGTCGACCCCGTCTCCCTCTGCTGGTATGCTGTGCTCGCCCTCTGCATGGTCGACCCCGTCTCCCTCTGCTGGTATGCTGTGCTCGCCCTCTGCATGGTCGACCCCGTCTCCCTCTGCTGGTATGCTGTGCTCGCCCTCTGCATGGTCGACCCCGTCTCCCTCTGCTGGTATGCTGTGCTCGCCCTCTGCATGGTCGACCCCGTCTCCCTCTGCTGGTATGCTGTGCTCGCCCTCTGCATGGTCGACCCCGTCTCCCTCTGCTGGTATGCTGTGCTCGCCCTCTGCATGGTCGACCCCGTCTCCCTCTGCTGGTATGCTGTGCTCGCCCTCTGCATGGTCGACCCCGTCTCCCTCTGCTGGTATGCTGTGCTCGCCCTCTGCATGGTCGACCCCGTCTCCCTCTGCTGGTATGCTGTGCTCGCCCTCTGCATGGTCGACCCCGTCTCCCTCTGCTGGTATGCTGTGCTCGCCCTCTGCATGGTCGACCCCGTCTCCCTCTGCTGGTATGCTGTGCTCGCCCTCTGCATGGTCGACCCCGTCTCCCTCTGCTGGTATGCTGTGCTCGCCCTCTGCATGGTCGACCCCGTCTCCCTCTGCTGGTATGCTGTGCTCGCCCTCTGCATGGTCGACCCCGTCTCCCTCTGCTGGTATGCTGTGCTCGCCCTCTGCATGGTCGACCCCGTCTCCCTCTGCTGGTATGCTGTGCTCGCCCTCTGCATGGTCGACCCCGTCTCCCTCTGCTGGTATGCTGTGCTCGCCCTCTGCATGGTCGACCCCGTCTCCCTCTGCTGGTATGCTGTGCTCGCCCTCTGCATGGTCGACCCCGTCTCCCTCTGCTGGTATGCTGTGCTCGCCCTCTGCATGGTCGACCCCGTCTCCCTCTGCTGGTATGCTGTGCTCGCCCTCTGCATGGTCGACCCCGTCTCCCTCTGCTGGTATGCTGTGCTCGCCCTCTGCATGGTCGACCCCGTCTCCCTCTGCTGGTATGCTGTGCTCGCCCTCTGCATGGTCGACCCCGTCTCCCTCTGCTGGTATGCTGTGCTCGCCCTCTGCATGGTCGACCCCGTCTCCCTCTGCTGGTATGCTGTGCTCGCCCTCTGCATGGTCGACCCCGTCTCCCTCTGCTGGTATGCTGTGCTCGCCCTCTGCATGGTCGACCCCGTCTCCCTCTGCTGGTATGCTGTGCTCGCCCTCTGCATGGTCGACCCCGTCTCCCTCTGCTGGTATGCTGTGCTCGCCCTCTGCATGGTCGACCCCGTCTCCCTCTGCTGGTATGCTGTGCTCGCCCTCTGCATGGTCGACCCCGTCTCCCTCTGCTGGTATGCTGTGCTCGCCCTCTGCATGGTCGACCCCGTCTCCCTCTGCTGGTATGCTGTGCTCGCCCTCTGCATGGTCGACCCCGTCTCCCTCTGCTGGTATGCTGTGCTCGCCCTCTGCATGGTCGACCCCGTCTCCCTCTGCTGGTATGCTGTGCTCGCCCTCTGCATGGTCGACCCCGTCTCCCTCTGCTGGTATGCTGTGCTCGCCCTCTGCATGGTCGACCCCGTCTCCCTCTGCTGGTATGCTGTGCTCGCCCTCTGCATGGTCGACCCCGTCTCCCTCTGCTGGTATGCTGTGCTCGCCCTCTGCATGGTCGACCCCGTCTCCCTCTGCTGGTATGCTGTGCTCGCCCTCTGCATGGTCGACCCCGTCTCCCTCTGCTGGTATGCTGTGCTCGCCCTCTGCATGGTCGACCCCGTCTCCCTCTGCTGGTATGCTGTGCTCGCCCTCTGCATGGTCGACCCCGTCTCCCTCTGCTGGTATGCTGTGCTCGCCCTCTGCATGGTCGACCCCGTCTCCCTCTGCTGGTATGCTGTGCTCGCCCTCTGCATGGTCGACCCCGTCTCCCTCTGCTGGTATGCTGTGCTCGCCCTCTGCATGGTCGACCCCGTCTCCCTCTGCTGGTATGCTGTGCTCGCCCTCTGCATGGTCGACCCCGTCTCCCTCTGCTGGTATGCTGTGCTCGCCCTCTGCATGGTCGACCCCGTCTCCCTCTGCTGGTATGCTGTGCTCGCCCTCTGCATGGTCGACCCCGTCTCCCTCTGCTGGTATGCTGTGCTCGCCCTCTGCATGGTCGACCCCGTCTCCCTCTGCTGGTATGCTGTGCTCGCCCTCTGCATGGTCGACCCCGTCTCCCTCTGCTGGTATGCTGTGCTCGCCCTCTGCATGGTCGACCCCGTCTCCCTCTGCTGGTATGCTGTGCTCGCCCTCTGCATGGTCGACCCCGTCTCCCTCTGCTGGTATGCTGTGCTCGCCCTCTGCATGGTCGACCCCGTCTCCCTCTGCTGGTATGCTGTGCTCGCCCTCTGCATGGTCGACCCCGTCTCCCTCTGCTGGTATGCTGTGCTCGCCCTCTGCATGGTCGACCCCGTCTCCCTCTGCTGGTATGCTGTGCTCGCCCTCTGCATGGTCGACCCCGTCTCCCTCTGCTGGTATGCTGTGCTCGCCCTCTGCATGGTCGACCCCGTCTCCCTCTGCTGGTATGCTGTGCTCGCCCTCTGCATGGTCGACCCCGTCTCCCTCTGCTGGTATGCTGTGCTCGCCCTCTGCATGGTCGACCCCGTCTCCCTCTGCTGGTATGCTGTGCTCGCCCTCTGCATGGTCGACCCCGTCTCCCTCTGCTGGTATGCTGTGCTCGCCCTCTGCATGGTCGACCCCGTCTCCCTCTGCTGGTATGCTGTGCTCGCCCTCTGCATGGTCGACCCCGTCTCCCTCTGCTGGTATGCTGTGCTCGCCCTCTGCATGGTCGACCCCGTCTCCCTCTGCTGGTATGCTGTGCTCGCCCTCTGCATGGTCGACCCCGTCTCCCTCTGCTGGTATGCTGTGCTCGCCCTCTGCATGGTCGACCCCGTCTCCCTCTGCTGGTATGCTGTGCTCGCCCTCTGCATGGTCGACCCCGTCTCCCTCTGCTGGTATGCTGTGCTCGCCCTCTGCATGGTCGACCCCGTCTCCCTCTGCTGGTATGCTGTGCTCGCCCTCTGCATGGTCGACCCCGTCTCCCTCTGCTGGTATGCTGTGCTCGCCCTCTGCATGGTCGACCCCGTCTCCCTCTGCTGGTATGCTGTGCTCGCCCTCTGCATGGTCGACCCCGTCTCCCTCTGCTGGTATGCTGTGCTCGCCCTCTGCATGGTCGACCCCGTCTCCCTCTGCTGGTATGCTGTGCTCGCCCTCTGCATGGTCGACCCCGTCTCCCTCTGCTGGTATGCTGTGCTCGCCCTCTGCATGGTCGACCCCGTCTCCCTCTGCTGGTATGCTGTGCTCGCCCTCTGCATGGTCGACCCCGTCTCCCTCTGCTGGTATGCTGTGCTCGCCCTCTGCATGGTCGACCCCGTCTCCCTCTGCTGGTATGCTGTGCTCGCCCTCTGCATGGTCGACCCCGTCTCCCTCTGCTGGTATGCTGTGCTCGCCCTCTGCATGGTCGACCCCGTCTCCCTCTGCTGGTATGCTGTGCTCGCCCTCTGCATGGTCGACCCCGTCTCCCTCTGCTGGTATGCTGTGCTCGCCCTCTGCATGGTCGACCCCGTCTCCCTCTGCTGGTATGCTGTGCTCGCCCTCTGCATGGTCGACCCCGTCTCCCTCTGCTGGTATGCTGTGCTCGCCCTCTGCATGGTCGACCCCGTCTCCCTCTGCTGGTATGCTGTGCTCGCCCTCTGCATGGTCGACCCCGTCTCCCTCTGCTGGTATGCTGTGCTCGCCCTCTGCATGGTCGACCCCGTCTCCCTCTGCTGGTATGCTGTGCTCGCCCTCTGCATGGTCGACCCCGTCTCCCTCTGCTGGTATGCTGTGCTCGCCCTCTGCATGGTCGACCCCGTCTCCCTCTGCTGGTATGCTGTGCTCGCCCTCTGCATGGTCGACCCCGTCTCCCTCTGCTGGTATGCTGTGCTCGCCCTCTGCATGGTCGACCCCGTCTCCCTCTGCTGGTATGCTGTGCTCGCCCTCTGCATGGTCGACCCCGTCTCCCTCTGCTGGTATGCTGTGCTCGCCCTCTGCATGGTCGACCCCGTCTCCCTCTGCTGGTATGCTGTGCTCGCCCTCTGCATGGTCGACCCCGTCTCCCTCTGCTGGTATGCTGTGCTCGCCCTCTGCATGGTCGACCCCGTCTCCCTCTGCTGGTATGCTGTGCTCGCCCTCTGCATGGTCGACCCCGTCTCCCTCTGCTGGTATGCTGTGCTCGCCCTCTGCATGGTCGACCCCGTCTCCCTCTGCTGGTATGCTGTGCTCGCCCTCTGCATGGTCGACCCCGTCTCCCTCTGCTGGTATGCTGTGCTCGCCCTCTGCATGGTCGACCCCGTCTCCCTCTGCTGGTATGCTGTGCTCGCCCTCTGCATGGTCGACCCCGTCTCCCTCTGCTGGTATGCTGTGCTCGCCCTCTGCATGGTCGACCCCGTCTCCCTCTGCTGGTATGCTGTGCTCGCCCTCTGCATGGTCGACCCCGTCTCCCTCTGCTGGTATGCTGTGCTCGCCCTCTGCATGGTCGACCCCGTCTCCCTCTGCTGGTATGCTGTGCTCGCCCTCTGCATGGTCGACCCCGTCTCCCTCTGCTGGTATGCTGTGCTCGCCCTCTGCATGGTCGACCCCGTCTCCCTCTGCTGGTATGCTGTGCTCGCCCTCTGCATGGTCGACCCCGTCTCCCTCTGCTGGTATGCTGTGCTCGCCCTCTGCATGGTCGACCCCGTCTCCCTCTGCTGGTATGCTGTGCTCGCCCTCTGCATGGTCGACCCCGTCTCCCTCTGCTGGTATGCTGTGCTCGCCCTCTGCATGGTCGACCCCGTCTCCCTCTGCTGGTATGCTGTGCTCGCCCTCTGCATGGTCGACCCCGTCTCCCTCTGCTGGTATGCTGTGCTCGCCCTCTGCATGGTCGACCCCGTCTCCCTCTGCTGGTATGCTGTGCTCGCCCTCTGCATGGTCGACCCCGTCTCCCTCTGCTGGTATGCTGTGCTCGCCCTCTGCATGGTCGACCCCGTCTCCCTCTGCTGGTATGCTGTGCTCGCCCTCTGCATGGTCGACCCCGTCTCCCTCTGCTGGTATGCTGTGCTCGCCCTCTGCATGGTCGACCCCGTCTCCCTCTGCTGGTATGCTGTGCTCGCCCTCTGCATGGTCGACCCCGTCTCCCTCTGCTGGTATGCTGTGCTCGCCCTCTGCATGGTCGACCCCGTCTCCCTCTGCTGGTATGCTGTGCTCGCCCTCTGCATGGTCGACCCCGTCTCCCTCTGCTGGTATGCTGTGCTCGCCCTCTGCATGGTCGACCCCGTCTCCCTCTGCTGGTATGCTGTGCTCGCCCTCTGCATGGTCGACCCCGTCTCCCTCTGCTGGTATGCTGTGCTCGCCCTCTGCATGGTCGACCCCGTCTCCCTCTGCTGGTATGCTGTGCTCGCCCTCTGCATGGTCGACCCCGTCTCCCTCTGCTGGTATGCTGTGCTCGCCCTCTGCATGGTCGACCCCGTCTCCCTCTGCTGGTATGCTGTGCTCGCCCTCTGCATGGTCGACCCCGTCTCCCTCTGCTGGTATGCTGTGCTCGCCCTCTGCATGGTCGACCCCGTCTCCCTCTGCTGGTATGCTGTGCTCGCCCTCTGCATGGTCGACCCCGTCTCCCTCTGCTGGTATGCTGTGCTCGCCCTCTGCATGGTCGACCCCGTCTCCCTCTGCTGGTATGCTGTGCTCGCCCTCTGCATGGTCGACCCCGTCTCCCTCTGCTGGTATGCTGTGCTCGCCCTCTGCATGGTCGACCCCGTCTCCCTCTGCTGGTATGCTGTGCTCGCCCTCTGCATGGTCGACCCCGTCTCCCTCTGCTGGTATGCTGTGCTCGCCCTCTGCATGGTCGACCCCGTCTCCCTCTGCTGGTATGCTGTGCTCGCCCTCTGCATGGTCGACCCCGTCTCCCTCTGCTGGTATGCTGTGCTCGCCCTCTGCATGGTCGACCCCGTCTCCCTCTGCTGGTATGCTGTGCTCGCCCTCTGCATGGTCGACCCCGTCTCCCTCTGCTGGTATGCTGTGCTCGCCCTCTGCATGGTCGACCCCGTCTCCCTCTGCTGGTATGCTGTGCTCGCCCTCTGCATGGTCGACCCCGTCTCCCTCTGCTGGTATGCTGTGCTCGCCCTCTGCATGGTCGACCCCGTCTCCCTCTGCTGGTATGCTGTGCTCGCCCTCTGCATGGTCGACCCCGTCTCCCTCTGCTGGTATGCTGTGCTCGCCCTCTGCATGGTCGACCCCGTCTCCCTCTGCTGGTATGCTGTGCTCGCCCTCTGCATGGTCGACCCCGTCTCCCTCTGCTGGTATGCTGTGCTCGCCCTCTGCATGGTCGACCCCGTCTCCCTCTGCTGGTATGCTGTGCTCGCCCTCTGCATGGTCGACCCCGTCTCCCTCTGCTGGTATGCTGTGCTCGCCCTCTGCATGGTCGACCCCGTCTCCCTCTGCTGGTATGCTGTGCTCGCCCTCTGCATGGTCGACCCCGTCTCCCTCTGCTGGTATGCTGTGCTCGCCCTCTGCATGGTCGACCCCGTCTCCCTCTGCTGGTATGCTGTGCTCGCCCTCTGCATGGTCGACCCCGTCTCCCTCTGCTGGTATGCTGTGCTCGCCCTCTGCATGGTCGACCCCGTCTCCCTCTGCTGGTATGCTGTGCTCGCCCTCTGCATGGTCGACCCCGTCTCCCTCTGCTGGTATGCTGTGCTCGCCCTCTGCATGGTCGACCCCGTCTCCCTCTGCTGGTATGCTGTGCTCGCCCTCTGCATGGTCGACCCCGTCTCCCTCTGCTGGTATGCTGTGCTCGCCCTCTGCATGGTCGACCCCGTCTCCCTCTGCTGGTATGCTGTGCTCGCCCTCTGCATGGTCGACCCCGTCTCCCTCTGCTGGTATGCTGTGCTCGCCCTCTGCATGGTCGACCCCGTCTCCCTCTGCTGGTATGCTGTGCTCGCCCTCTGCATGGTCGACCCCGTCTCCCTCTGCTGGTATGCTGTGCTCGCCCTCTGCATGGTCGACCCCGTCTCCCTCTGCTGGTATGCTGTGCTCGCCCTCTGCATGGTCGACCCCGTCTCCCTCTGCTGGTATGCTGTGCTCGCCCTCTGCATGGTCGACCCCGTCTCCCTCTGCTGGTATGCTGTGCTCGCCCTCTGCATGGTCGACCCCGTCTCCCTCTGCTGGTATGCTGTGCTCGCCCTCTGCATGGTCGACCCCGTCTCCCTCTGCTGGTATGCTGTGCTCGCCCTCTGCATGGTCGACCCCGTCTCCCTCTGCTGGTATGCTGTGCTCGCCCTCTGCATGGTCGACCCCGTCTCCCTCTGCTGGTATGCTGTGCTCGCCCTCTGCATGGTCGACCCCGTCTCCCTCTGCTGGTATGCTGTGCTCGCCCTCTGCATGGTCGACCCCGTCTCCCTCTGCTGGTATGCTGTGCTCGCCCTCTGCATGGTCGACCCCGTCTCCCTCTGCTGGTATGCTGTGCTCGCCCTCTGCATGGTCGACCCCGTCTCCCTCTGCTGGTATGCTGTGCTCGCCCTCTGCATGGTCGACCCCGTCTCCCTCTGCTGGTATGCTGTGCTCGCCCTCTGCATGGTCGACCCCGTCTCCCTCTGCTGGTATGCTGTGCTCGCCCTCTGCATGGTCGACCCCGTCTCCCTCTGCTGGTATGCTGTGCTCGCCCTCTGCATGGTCGACCCCGTCTCCCTCTGCTGGTATGCTGTGCTCGCCCTCTGCATGGTCGACCCCGTCTCCCTCTGCTGGTATGCTGTGCTCGCCCTCTGCATGGTCGACCCCGTCTCCCTCTGCTGGTATGCTGTGCTCGCCCTCTGCATGGTCGACCCCGTCTCCCTCTGCTGGTATGCTGTGCTCGCCCTCTGCATGGTCGACCCCGTCTCCCTCTGCTGGTATGCTGTGCTCGCCCTCTGCATGGTCGACCCCGTCTCCCTCTGCTGGTATGCTGTGCTCGCCCTCTGCATGGTCGACCCCGTCTCCCTCTGCTGGTATGCTGTGCTCGCCCTCTGCATGGTCGACCCCGTCTCCCTCTGCTGGTATGCTGTGCTCGCCCTCTGCATGGTCGACCCCGTCTCCCTCTGCTGGTATGCTGTGCTCGCCCTCTGCATGGTCGACCCCGTCTCCCTCTGCTGGTATGCTGTGCTCGCCCTCTGCATGGTCGACCCCGTCTCCCTCTGCTGGTATGCTGTGCTCGCCCTCTGCATGGTCGACCCCGTCTCCCTCTGCTGGTATGCTGTGCTCGCCCTCTGCATGGTCGACCCCGTCTCCCTCTGCTGGTATGCTGTGCTCGCCCTCTGCATGGTCGACCCCGTCTCCCTCTGCTGGTATGCTGTGCTCGCCCTCTGCATGGTCGACCCCGTCTCCCTCTGCTGGTATGCTGTGCTCGCCCTCTGCATGGTCGACCCCGTCTCCCTCTGCTGGTATGCTGTGCTCGCCCTCTGCATGGTCGACCCCGTCTCCCTCTGCTGGTATGCTGTGCTCGCCCTCTGCATGGTCGACCCCGTCTCCCTCTGCTGGTATGCTGTGCTCGCCCTCTGCATGGTCGACCCCGTCTCCCTCTGCTGGTATGCTGTGCTCGCCCTCTGCATGGTCGACCCCGTCTCCCTCTGCTGGTATGCTGTGCTCGCCCTCTGCATGGTCGACCCCGTCTCCCTCTGCTGGTATGCTGTGCTCGCCCTCTGCATGGTCGACCCCGTCTCCCTCTGCTGGTATGCTGTGCTCGCCCTCTGCATGGTCGACCCCGTCTCCCTCTGCTGGTATGCTGTGCTCGCCCTCTGCATGGTCGACCCCGTCTCCCTCTGCTGGTATGCTGTGCTCGCCCTCTGCATGGTCGACCCCGTCTCCCTCTGCTGGTATGCTGTGCTCGCCCTCTGCATGGTCGACCCCGTCTCCCTCTGCTGGTATGCTGTGCTCGCCCTCTGCATGGTCGACCCCGTCTCCCTCTGCTGGTATGCTGTGCTCGCCCTCTGCATGGTCGACCCCGTCTCCCTCTGCTGGTATGCTGTGCTCGCCCTCTGCATGGTCGACCCCGTCTCCCTCTGCTGGTATGCTGTGCTCGCCCTCTGCATGGTCGACCCCGTCTCCCTCTGCTGGTATGCTGTGCTCGCCCTCTGCATGGTCGACCCCGTCTCCCTCTGCTGGTATGCTGTGCTCGCCCTCTGCATGGTCGACCCCGTCTCCCTCTGCTGGTATGCTGTGCTCGCCCTCTGCATGGTCGACCCCGTCTCCCTCTGCTGGTATGCTGTGCTCGCCCTCTGCATGGTCGACCCCGTCTCCCTCTGCTGGTATGCTGTGCTCGCCCTCTGCATGGTCGACCCCGTCTCCCTCTGCTGGTATGCTGTGCTCGCCCTCTGCATGGTCGACCCCGTCTCCCTCTGCTGGTATGCTGTGCTCGCCCTCTGCATGGTCGACCCCGTCTCCCTCTGCTGGTATGCTGTGCTCGCCCTCTGCATGGTCGACCCCGTCTCCCTCTGCTGGTATGCTGTGCTCGCCCTCTGCATGGTCGACCCCGTCTCCCTCTGCTGGTATGCTGTGCTCGCCCTCTGCATGGTCGACCCCGTCTCCCTCTGCTGGTATGCTGTGCTCGCCCTCTGCATGGTCGACCCCGTCTCCCTCTGCTGGTATGCTGTGCTCGCCCTCTGCATGGTCGACCCCGTCTCCCTCTGCTGGTATGCTGTGCTCGCCCTCTGCATGGTCGACCCCGTCTCCCTCTGCTGGTATGCTGTGCTCGCCCTCTGCATGGTCGACCCCGTCTCCCTCTGCTGGTATGCTGTGCTCGCCCTCTGCATGGTCGACCCCGTCTCCCTCTGCTGGTATGCTGTGCTCGCCCTCTGCATGGTCGACCCCGTCTCCCTCTGCTGGTATGCTGTGCTCGCCCTCTGCATGGTCGACCCCGTCTCCCTCTGCTGGTATGCTGTGCTCGCCCTCTGCATGGTCGACCCCGTCTCCCTCTGCTGGTATGCTGTGCTCGCCCTCTGCATGGTCGACCCCGTCTCCCTCTGCTGGTATGCTGTGCTCGCCCTCTGCATGGTCGACCCCGTCTCCCTCTGCTGGTATGCTGTGCTCGCCCTCTGCATGGTCGACCCCGTCTCCCTCTGCTGGTATGCTGTGCTCGCCCTCTGCATGGTCGACCCCGTCTCCCTCTGCTGGTATGCTGTGCTCGCCCTCTGCATGGTCGACCCCGTCTCCCTCTGCTGGTATGCTGTGCTCGCCCTCTGCATGGTCGACCCCGTCTCCCTCTGCTGGTATGCTGTGCTCGCCCTCTGCATGGTCGACCCCGTCTCCCTCTGCTGGTATGCTGTGCTCGCCCTCTGCATGGTTTTTTTTTTTTTTTTTTTTTTATCTGTCTTGCTCCCTCTCTACCCCATGATATATACCTTATGTCTTTTTTTTCCCCCTTTCTTGCCTGCACCACTTATTCCCCAATACTCTCTTGCTCCACCACCACCGCCATCAGTGGCGGGGATGGGAGAGGTGGACGACCCGCTGTTTTTGGGCTTCGGAGGGCACCGGTTGGCTGTATCGCGCAAGCTGGCATGCTCGCCCATGAATGTGGGCATCGGGGACGCCTTTGACGAGCCGCTGCCTTGCGTGCTGAGTGAGTGGGGGGCATTTGTGCTCACTCTCTCCTTGTGGGAACCTTTTTTCCGCCTAACAGGCCTACATTGTGTGTTCAGATGGCCGGTTTGGCCAGTCCAATCCATCTTAGCTGTCCTGTCATGTCACATGTACCCTCTCACCTTCATGCTGCATCCTTACTCCCCATCCTTCCTCCCAATGTCCTCCTCTCCTTTCTGGTCCTCTCTCCCTCCAACCAGAGATGGACGACGGGTCCCCCGGCTCGTTCGCGTACAGCAAGGTGTTTGAGGAGCCAATCACGATTCACTACGAGGACGGCACTCTCTCTGTTGATGATTCCTCCTCCTCCTCCTCTTCCACCTCAGCTGCGTCTCTTCTCACTATGCTGCCTGCACGAGCAGGAGCTGAGGTTGCTGGTGAGCTCTGCATGCCATACCACCACATGCCATACCATACCGTATGCCATACCGCATGTCATGCGGCATATATACCATGTTGCGTGCCATGCTTCATGCCATACGGAATGCCACTCTGCATTTGTGATGTGACTTCCTTCCATGCTTGCTTTCCCTTCTGTTGATTCATCTCTTTCACCCTCACCATTCCCTCTTCCTGCATCCCTATTCCATCCATTCTTCTTACTCATCCCTCCCTCGCATGGCAGGTGTTGTGAACGGCACTGAGAGCAGCACTCTCTCAAGCACTGCACGCTTCACTTCCACCAGCGCCATCACGCCTTCCTCCTCCTCCGCCTCCCCAGCAGCGTACGAGTGCTCGCCAGGGTGTCGCCTGCAGCGGCTGGCCAATGGGGTGTGCGATGGGGCGTGCAACACGCCCGCATGCGCCTTTGACGGCGGCGACTGCGCGTGTGTCGACCCGCTCTTCGGCCCCGGCATCTGCGCTTGCCCGCCCGGCCACACCCGCCGCGACGACGGCTGTCAGTCATCCCTCTCCCCCTCCACCGGCTCCTCTCGCCCCCTGCCTTGCTCCGTCATCCCTGCCTTGCTCCGTCATCCCTGCCTCCCCTCCCATCGTCGCTTCACTCTTACTCGCTTTCTGATTTGCACTTACTTTCATTGCCTCATTGTGTCAGAAGACCTGCACTGGGAATGCCCGATTGATCCTAGGGAAGGGTTACAGGTTCGCTAGCCTGGGAGGTTATGGGCGCACTGACCCGCTACTTAACAAACATTTTATCACAGTGGTCTTGTGGTTGAGATTCTGACATGGTATCAAAGCGAAAGTCTCAGGTTCGAATCCCCATGTGCGCTCATGCTAGCGCTGCCGCTGTGCCGTGTGAAGGGGGGGTTGTCAGATGACCTGCACTGGGGATGCCCGATTGATCATAGGGAAGGGTTACCGGCTCGTTAACCCGGGGGGGTTGTGGGCGCACTGACCCGCTACTTAACGAGCCGTTTTATCCCAGTGGTCTAGTGGCTGAGATTCTGACACCTTGACCTCCCATCCTTGCTCTCTCTTCCTTGTACTTCTCCCATTCCTCCTCTCCTCCCTCCCCCTCCCCCTTCCGCCAGCGTGCTGTCTGTCGACGGCGGTGGGAGCCAATCTCAACTTCCCCTTCTCACTGCAGCGCTACGGCCCCAACTACACAGAGAGCAACTTCGCCTTTGCTGCTGAGAGGGGCTTCGCTGCCAACCGCTTCGTCTCACACCGCAACCGGTACGCTCCCGTGCGTCCCTGCCTGTCATGCCTGCCCTGCCCTGCCCTGTTGGGCACCACCCTTGTGCAGCGGTTGCCTGCTCCTTGCCCTTCCATGCTTTTCCTACATCCAACACAGCATTCATCTGGTCGCGTACACGGCTCGATTATTTTATTACACCGTCTTGTACCACTAAGTACCATGCTACACCGCACAGTACCGTATTGTTCCGTCAGCTTCCGTTCAACCATCAGAGCCTGCACTCCGCTCACCACCACAATCAGCTTCTAACCCTTACCTTCCATATTTCCCTTCCTCTTGTCTCTCTCCTTTTTCCGTGACAGCCTGTTGATTGGCTTGGTCCTGCAGCAGAACCGGTGGGACACACAGCAGTGCAACGGATCAGGGTGAGTGGCCCTGGGGAATGGGGTGAGTAGTGGGGTGTGACGTCCGGATTTCATGATCTTTGCTGATCCTGTCCCTGTGAGTGTGTGCGGTCACCAGTTGCTCTTCACGTCTGTACCCTCTCTTCCACTCCACCAACTCTGCCTCCTCTCTCCCCTCCACCCAGCCTGCTACACCTGGCGGGGTGGTGCAGCAACGGCACGTCCAGGGAGCCGTTTGGAGTGAACCCGCACTTCCTGCCCACGTCGGCCATCTACGACAGCGCTGCCAGCGCCAACATCTCCCAGCTCGACAACAACACCCTCAACCCGCAGAACCTCCCCTACGGATTCATCTACCCCGTGGTCAGTCAGTTATGGCCCCTTCGTATATTTCTGCTCCGTTTAATTTGCCTGTGCAAAGCAGTGCCATGCGCTATGCGACTGGTGTAAAAAGTTGAGATGATCAAATGTCTGGATGGTGAAGCTCAAAGAACGATTGGATTGGGGAGGGTGCAACCTCAAATGGTGGGTTGGGTTGTGTGGGACCTATCTTTCAAAGCTATGTTTACACTGAGCTCTGAGCCATGTATACAAGCATAAAATTATGAATTTATCAAAATCGTGTAATAGCTGGAAGGACTTCATATCACTCTCTTCGTCTCTGTTCATGCTGAATTCCTCTGTGCACCCTTCTTTCTACAGGCCTCCCTCAAAGCCTACCCCATGGTGTTTGACATCAATCTCGACTACGAGGCGGCCATGCGTCGTCTGCACTACCTGGTGGATGGAGGCTATATCGACAACGGCACTCGCACTGTGGACGTCAGTTTCATAACTTTCAACGGTACTTAATTGGCGTTGCTTTAGACCAATGGGTGGTGAATCTCTGGTGTAACAGAAATGTGAGCCATGCCAAATGCATGTGGGTTTTCTCGCTTTCAGTGGCCTTCACTGATCTTCCCCGTACTTCTCTCTCCGTCTCATGACCACCTTCATCCGTGTTGGCAGGCGAGACGCTCACTTTTGTGCTGACAACTGTGAGTTGCAAGGTGACAACGGGCGGGAGCATGGTAGTGAGCATTCGGTCCCAGCCGGCAGCCATGGCGATGTACGATGCATCGGCGGACAACATCGCACGGCTGGTGCTGGAGATAGTTTACTTGGTGGGGCTGCTCTGGAATGTGTGTGGCGAGCTGCAGGAGATGGCCGACCGCGCTGCCACCCATGGATCGGTGCTCAGCTATTTCGGCCTCGTGTGGAACTGGGTCGACATGCTCTCTCTCACGCTGCAAGTGACTGCGGTTGTTATCTGGTAAGAAACCAGCGATTTGCCGTACAATGCATGCGGTGTTCATGATTTCATCTGGCACCACGCTTATGGCACCACGCTTATGGCACCACACTTATGGCACCACGCTTATGGCACCACGCTTATGGCACCACGCTTATGGCACCACACTTATGGCACCACGCTTATGGCACCACACTTATGGCACCACGCTTATGGCACCACGCTTATGGCACCACGCTTATGGCACCACGCTTATGGCACCACGCTTATGGCACCACGCTTATGGCACCACGCTTATGGCACCACGCTTATGGCTCCTTCCGCACTGCTCATCCGCTCTGCATTCTCTCACTGTCCTCCACATGCGCACATGTGTTTGTCGGTGTGGTCAGGGTGGTGCTATGGCGGTACGTGGAAGCATTTGACATGCAGCCACGCTACGACATCTACCATACACTCCTCGAGATGCCGCAGTATTGGGCCGTGCCCAACCCGCCTGTGGGCTTCCTCGGCGCCACTCAAGCCTTCTCTGATCTGCGCAACATCATCAACCTCCGTGGTGTCTACTTTTCCCTCCAGGGCATAAAGTGAGCGGCTTTGCCCTTAACATACATAGTTTCGTGTGTGTGTGTGTGTGTGTGTGTGTGTGTGTGTGTGTGTGTGTGTGTGTGTGTGTATGTGTGTGTGTGTGTGTGTGTGTGTATGTGTGTGTGTGTGTGTGCGTGCGTGCGTGTGCGTGCGTGCGTGTGCGCGTGTGCGCGTGCGTGCGTGCGTGCGTGCGTGTCTGCGTGTGTATGTGTGTGTGTGCGTGCGTGCGTGTGCGTGCGTGCGTGTGCGTGCGTGCGCGCGTGTGCGCGTGCGTGCGTGCGTGCGTGCGTGCGTGCGTGCGTGCGTGCGTGCGTGTCTGCGTGTGTGTGTGTGTGTGTGTGTCTGCGTGTGTGTGTGTGTGTGTGTGTGTGGGGGGGGGGGGGGGGGGGGGGGGGTGTGTGTGTGTGTGTGTGTGTGTTGATTTTCTTTATGATGAATAAAAACAAGTTAACCTCTCACTCGGCTCGTTTGCTCATGTCTAAGTGTTAGTCATCGATTGATGATCCATTTCCTATCAACCACACTCTTACTTCTGCCCCGCCTAATTCCCTTCGCTGCTCCCTGTTCCCCTCCAGTCTCTTCTTCATGATGATTCGCTTACTCAAAGTCATGGACTTCCAGCCCTATCTGGGCGTCATCACTCGCTCCCTCGCCCTCGCCACGCCCTCCCTGATGCACTTCTTCCTGCTCTCCTTTACGGTCTTCTTCTGCTTCAGCATGTATGCCTACCTTGTCTTCGGAGGAGCACTTGAGATGGTATGTGTGGGGCTCATTTCTTACCTTCTTTTGTTGAATGTGTCACCCTGTTTTGATTGAGCAAGACTTTCTGCTCAAATTTATCACGCCTCTTCGTTTTTTTTTTTTTTTTTTTTTTTAAGCTTTAGTTTGATTTATTTATTTATTTATTATTCCGGCAATTCTCCCCTCTCCTGCCTCCCCCCTTCCACCCTTTGCAGTTCTCCACAGTGCTAGAGTCCATGTTCTCGTGCTTCCTGCTACTTCTCAACGACAATGGGTCGGCCTATTTCTTCCAGCGCATGGAGTCGTGGGACCTCATAGCCGCGATGCTCTTCTTCTTCATGTTCATCGTCTTCATGGTCTTCATCCTCCTCAACTTCCTCATCGCCATCATCGTCGATGCGTTCATGAGCGTCAAGGATAGCAACCTTGTCGCCACCTCAATAGCCGCTGACCTCGCACACATTTTCAAGTACAAGTGGAACTGCTGGCGTGGTCGCTACCTGCCGTATCCATCCATTCTCGACCGCCTCGTGGAGTTGGGCGCCAAGGATACCCGAGTTGACGAGGTGAGAGCTGGGCACCTGGTGTTGTGTGATGCCATCATGTCCATTCACGTCTGTCTGCCTCCCATCTTGTGTTTCGAACTTGCATGCATGGTGTAGACGACTTGTGAAGACGACTTTTCTGTCCAGAAACCTAGTCCAACGATTTGAGCTATTTCAACCCCCTAATCTACATAGACTCCGTCCTAACACCTGGATCATTTTCGTGGACAAGATGAGAGGCCGAATAAATGATTGATTGTGAACTTTCACCAAATTGTCCAAGTAGCATTTAGAGTCCCAATTGAGTTTTTTTTCCCAGGCACTGTTAGTGGTTCCGATTAGGATTTCCTTTCAAATATTTTATTCTAGTCAATTTCTTGTTTCGCATATGCCACTTGTAAAGTGCATGGTCTCGGTGGTTGTTGAATCGGGCATTGCTGCTGGCCTCTTTCAAAAGCTAATTATTTCATCTCTTCTCCTCCCATCTCGTCACATCATGTGCTTCGCAGTCGGATCGTCGGATGCGTCGCATGCAGTCGATGAAGCGGCGAACGCGGGCCCTCTTCTCCTGCAGCTGTGGCGGCGGATGCAAGCCGTCGCACATCGGTTGCGGGGAGAACCACCCCGCCTTCCCGTCCGCCAGCGAGACTGGGGAGCGGCGGCAGCACGTTCTGACAGTGAGGGAGAAGCGCATCGACGTCATCTCGCTCGCCATGATCCTGCAACGGTGCCAGGATAGGGAGGTACGACCTTGCTGGCGCGGTTGTCAGAATGAGTACTTGGGCATGCCATGTGTTGTGGTATGCCATGTGGTTCTGCTATGGCGTATGTTGTGCCATTGCCAAGCCATGTGGTTGTGCCAGGGTATAAGTTGTGCTAAGTGTTGTGCCATGCATTGTGGCAAAAAGTGTATTGTGACATGCATGTCCAGTGAATGTGATGTGCCGACTTCTATGCACGACTTTCTTACAAACAATCTGCCCCCGCACGTCCCTCTATCCACCGCTCTCCCCATGTTTCACAATCTTTCCCCAGCGAGTTGGGCCCTGCAAGGCTGAGTCGCCGTACAAGTGTTGGTCAAGGGCAGGCGCGAGTGAGGATGCGGAGGAGGAGCGGCTGGAGCAGCTGTCGCAGGCGGTGGTGCTGCAGTGTGGCGAGGTGGTGAAGCAGGCCGCCCAGCCAGTCAAGAAGAGCGCAAAGAAGCTCAGCCTGGCGCACATCAAGGTGCGGAAGGAAGGCGGTGAGGGGTGTGTTGTGAACACGGGTGAGTGGCGGTGTGTGAGTGACTACAAGTGAGAGGGGGTGTGTGCGAATACATCGGGAATTCCAGTCATCAGAATTCAATGGATGAGATACTAGAAGAGCCTGCAATCAGCCCTACAGGTTGCATGCCTACCTGCCATGCGTTCCTGCTGCTCCCCCACAGCATCTCTTCTCCCCCCTCACCCTTCCCCATGCCAACGCCCCTCCCTTCCCATCCCATGTGTGTGAGAGCAGGCGGATCTGGCGCGCAGCGAGGCCAAGGTGGAGGAGCTGAGTGCCATGATGACAGACATGCAAGCACTCATGCTCGACCTCCTCGCCCGCACGCCCCCGCTAAGCAACACTGCCCACTCTTCGTGACTCGTCATAACGGCAGTGCAGCAGGAGGCATGCCTCTTAGCACTAGCTCCAGCATTTCCCCCTCCCTCCATTGATTTTACGCACTTCCCGCCCCACCTGTATCCAAACAGGCCCGTCCTCCCCCCACCCCCACGCACCTGCACGCCAGGCCGAGCTTGTGCACACAGCCCTCCGCACCTGCACGCCAGGCCGAGCTTGTGCACACAGCCCTCCGCACCTGCACGCCAGGCCGAGCTTGTGCACACAGCCCTCCGCACCTGCACGCCAGGCCGAGCTTGTGCACACAGCCCTCCGCACCTGCACGCCAGGCCGAGCTTGTGCACACAGCCCTCCGCACCTGCACGCCAGGCCGAGCTTGTGCACACAGCCCTCCGCACACAGCCCTCGGCACACAGCCCCTTGCCCCTCCACGCCCTGTTCCTCCCACGCACCTGCACGTGGGCCAGGCTGAGCTTCTGCACGCAGCCCCTGCCCCCCCCCCCCCCCCCCCCCAACGCACCTGCACATGATTGAGGCTGAGCTTTATCACGGGCTTCTTGACGGGCAGGGCGGACTGCTTCACCACCTCGCCGCACTGCAGCACCACCGCCTGCGACAGCTGCTCCAGCCCCTCCTCGTCCGGCGTCCAGGTGGCAGGCCCGCACACTGCTCCGTTCTCACACTGGGACGAGGAGAAACACGGTGCCGCCTTGGATGAGGAAGACTGGCGGGCCCTCCTTGCCTGAGGACCAGCGAGGGAGGGAAAGGGACGAGAGCAGGAGGAGGAGGAAGGGTGGGAATGGAGTTGGACTGTAGTTAAGAGTCAGACTAAGAAGAAATGCAGAGTGGTGCACGGAGAAATATTGCCCAAACCTGGATAACGGCCAATACAGGGAGAGTAAGCACTTGCCATGGCACTACCTAAATCAGTTGCCACAGGCATGGTGGGACGAGCGTGCCAAAAGGCATGGAAAGGCATGGAAAGGCATGAATACAAGCATGGAAAGGCATGGAAACGCATGGAAACAAGCATGGAAAGGCACGGAGACGCATGGAGACGCATGGAAAGGCATGGAGACGCATGGCAGCAAGGGACGCACCGCCTCGTCCTGGCGGCGCTGCAGGATCATGGCAAGCGAGATGACGTCGATGCGCTTCTCCCTCACTGTCAGCACGTGCTGCTTCCGCACCCGCGAGTCACTAGCGGCGGAGGGGAAGGCGGGTTGGTTTTCTGACCGGGCGAAGTGCGACGCCTTGTGGGCGCTGCCTCTCGCGCCGGAGAACATTGAGGCTACCCGCCGTTTGATGGACTTGAAGCGGCGCATCCGAGGGTTCTCCTGAAATGAAAGGCGCGCGGGGAATGGCGTGAGTGAGAGATGGCGATTAGGGGTCGGTGGCACCGGTGGCCATTGCAGCATGACTAAGGCGTCACCTTAACCTGCGTGAGAAGGGAGTGATCGCATCATGTCTGCATGGCTAGAACACGCATCTCAACAACCACTTGAGAAACAACCATAACAATCAAATCAAACACCTTCACTTCACTGACCTCATGAGACACTTACAGAACCCTGCATCAAACAACTTACTACGCACTCTCACCTCCTTAATGCGTGTGTCCTTGGCCCCCAAGTCCACAAGTCGGTCGAGAATGACACGGTACGGCAGGTAGCGGCCGCGCCAGCAGTTCCACTTGTACTTAAATATGTGGGCGAGGTCAGCGGCTATGGAGGTAGCAACAACGTCGCTGTCCTTGACGCTCATGAAGGCATCAACGATGATGGCGATGAGGAAGTTGAGGAGGATGAAGACCATGAAGACGATGAACATGAAGAAGAAGAGCATCGCGGCAATGAGGTCCCACGACTCTAGGCGCATCAAGAAGTAGGCGGAGCCGTTGTCGTTGATGAGCAGCAGGAACAACGAGAACATGGAGTTGAGTACGGTGGAGAACTGCAACGGGTGGGCCGGGGAGGCGGGAGAAAGGGTGTTTGTGGGGCAATGGATGGAGAAGACACACAAAGTCGGGAAACAGGAGGGTTGGCAAGGTGAACCTGGATATATATATGTATATATATATTTATACATGTTGTCTTGTTTGTTTGGTTTCATTATATATATATATATGTATATATATATGCACATATATACATATATACAGATATACATATATACATATATACATATATACATATATAAATGTATTTTATACACACATTAAATAAAAAGTGATGGTAACTGGTTTCCGCTTATGGCTTTATTCGTCTCATAGCGCATAATTGGTGCTCTCGCTTGGATTTGATTAAGACAGCAGAGGCAAATGAGCCCCACACCCACACATACCAGCTCCATTGCGCCTCCGAAGACGAGGTAGCCATACATGCTGAAGCAGAAGAAGACCGTAAAGGAGAGCAGGAAGAAGTGCATCAGCGAGGGCGTGGCGAGGCCGAGGGAGCGCGTGATGACGCCAAGGTAAGGCTGGAAGTCCATGACCTTGAGTAGGCGAATCATCATGAAGAATACACTGGGGGGATTGGGGGGTGGGGAGGAGGGAGAAGGGAAGGATGTTAAATGTAGGATGTCAGCAGACTGAGCGACATGTGTGTTACACAATTAGTCGCACCTCGGGCCGGCCTGTCAGGCTTCGGCCCAACCAGTTCAGGTTTGACTTTTGCTCAGAGTACATTCCGGGCTCTGGTCAGACTTCTGGGCAACAATGCTTCTCAACCTGGGAATCAGCACAATCGGTGCGAAATAGCTGCGATTTAGGGCCACAAGCACGGCTGACCAGAAGTTTGGACAGAGCCCAGAATGTACCCTCAATCTGGGAAGCCGTAGACACAGTGAAAATGGCTCACTTCTTGTTCTGAAAAGCAAGGCAGCGCACTTGAAACCCTGCAGGGGAAGGCGGCTCACTTGATGCCCTGGAGGGCGAAGTAGACGGCGCGGAGGTTGATGATGTTGCGAAGCTCAGCGAAGGCCTGAGTGGCGCCAATGAAGCCCGTGGGCGGGTTGGGCACGGCCCAGTAGCGCGGCATCTCAAACAGCGAGTAGTAGACGTTGTAGCGTGGCTGCATATCAAATGCTTCCACATACCGCCACAGCACCACCCTGGACACACCGACACACACGCACACGTGTGGAGGATAGTGTGAGAATGTGAACATGTGAGGCGGATGGGCAGTGAAAACGGAGCAATAAGCGTTGCGCCAGATGAGACGACGAGCACCGGATGCAAGCACTCACGCAACTTGGCTGGTTGCTTACCAGATAATAACCGCAGCCGCCTGCAGCGAGAGGGAGAGCATGTCGACCCAGTTCCATGCTTGCTCAAAGTAGCTCAGAACTGAGCCATCCTTGGCAGCACGGTCTGCCATCTCCTGCAGCTCGCCACACACATTCCAGAGCAGCCCCACCAAGTAAACTATCTCCAGCACCAGCCGTGCGATGTTGTCCACCGATGCATCGTACATCGCCATGGCTGCCGGCTGGGACTTGAAGGTGACTGCCATGCTGCCCCCCCCGTTCACCTTGCAACTCACAGTTGTGAGCACAAAAGTGAGCGTCTCGCCTGCCAACAGGGGAGGCGTCAAGGAGGCGAGTGAGAGGCGTGCATTGAGAGGCGTGCATTGAGAGAGAGGCGGTGTACACTGATTGTTGCAAGAAACGAATGGATGTGTTGAGTAGATACATGTGCTTGAGGGCCCGTGTTACCACAAGGTAATTGAATACCATTGAAGGTTATAAAGTTGACATCAACGCTGCGCGTGCCATTGTCAATGTAGCTGCCATCCACCAAGTAGTGTAGACGCCTTGTGGCCGCCTCGTTATCGAGATTAATGCCAAACACCAAAGGGTATGTCGTGAGAGACGCCTGCTGGAAAAAAGAAGTACAGGTGAACACTATATTCGCCAAGACATCATTGGCTTCATCGGTAACACACCACAACATCAAGAAACAAGACAGCAAGACAGCGCGAGAGCAAGGCAGCACGACAGCAAGGCAGCAGAGCAGATAGACATGGAAGGGCACAAGGCACTAGGGCAGCAAAGCAGCAGGCCAGCAAGGGAGGAGTCGGTCGTTTGCCTTGCTTGTTTTGAGACGTATCACAACTTGCCTTGCTTGCGAGCTGGGAAGGGATGGGATCCGCCTAAGCACTTCACCACACCTCTCTGCGCTGGCAGTGCCGGGCACTATAACTAAACCCCAACCGCATGCAACTTATTTGCAAAAGGAAAATAATGCGGAACATTAATCTTTGAAGGGGCTTAACATGGAATAGATGAAGTCGTTTACTCTTAGTACCAACCATATGGAAAATTAACGCACTTATTCTTAGTACTAACCATATGAGTAATTAACGCACTTACTGTTAGTACCAATTATATATATAGGTAAGTAACGCACTTACCTTTAGTACCAACAATATGAGTAAGTATCACACTTACTCTTAATACGAAACATATGGGTTTGTAACGCACTTACTCATAGTACCAACCATATGGGTAACTAACGTGCTTACTCTAAGTACCATCCATATTGGTAAATAACGCACTTACTCTTGGTACCAACCGCATTGGTAAGTAATGCGCACACTTTTGATACTAACCATATGGGTAAGTAGCGCGCTTGCACTGCTTGACAAAGGCAGATAATAAGGAGAACACATCTGTTAAAAAACTGACCAATGGGTAGATGAAGCCGTAGGGGAGGCCCTGTGGGTTGAACTGCAGTTTGAAGCCGAAGGTGTTGTTGTCGAGCTGGCTCATATTGGCGCTGGCAGCACTGTCGTAGATGGCCGACGTGGGCAGAAAGTGCGGGTTCACTCCAAACGGTTCCATGGACGTGCCATTGCTGCACCACCCCCCCAGGTGCAGCAGGCTGGGGCGAGAGAGGAGGGAGGGGAGAGGGCAGGGAGGAGTAGAGGGGGTTGGGGGAGAGAAGAGCAGGTGTAGCTGTGACCAAGGGAGGGAGTGAAGTGCAGGCGTTGAAAGAAGGGCAGTCGGTGGCGATGTCACAGCGACAGGAATCTGTCCCAGCGACAGGATTTGTCACAGTGACAGGATTTCTCATAGCGACAGGATCTGTCACAGCGACAGGATCCGGCAAACATCGTGAAACCCTCGCACGTCACAGTAGGCATGAGCAACAGTCAAAGCACGATGGCACGCCTCGTTGGGCCGGCCCCATCGAGCTGCGGCCCCGCGCGTTGGCTCCTTGGCTCGTGAAGCTGGTCCAACGAGTGGCAGCTGGCTCGGCTCCCACCCTTGCTCATGCCTGCATGCATGCCCCTTCACGAGAGCCACTCACCCCACGCATGAGAGCCACTCACCCCATGCATGAGAGCCACTCACCCCATGCATGAGAGCCACTCACCCCGCTCCGCTGCACTGCTGTGTGCCCCACCGGTCCTGGTGCAGACTGCCACGGAGAAGAAAGGAGAGGGGAGGGGGAGGAAGGGGATAAGGCAGAGGAGAGTGAGACGCCGATTGTGCTGGTGAGCCAAGGTTCTGATGGATATATGCTGTGCTACAGCGAGGACGGGATGAATGAAAGCATATCAAGGTCGTGGAAAGGCATGGCCCAGTACAAGTGTGCCGCCCAACAGGGCGGGCAGGGAGGCAGGGGGTGGCATACCGGTTGCGGCGAGACACGTAGCGCGAGGCAGCAAAGCCCCTTTCAGCCGCAAAGACGTAGTTGCTCTCCGTGTAGTTGGGGCCGTAGCGCTGCAGTGAGAAGGGGAAGTTGAGATTGGCTCCCACCGCCGTGGATAGACAGCACGCTGGAGGAGAGGGGGAGGAGAAAGGGGAGGAACAGAGAGGAGGAAGGGGAGGGAGATGAGGAAGAGAGAGCAGGGACGGGAGGGCAAGGAATTCATCGAAAGCAAGTTCAAGCCAGGAAGTAATTAAGCGTGACGTGAGAATAGGAGCGGAGAGAAGGATGGTGGAGCAAGGCAGCGGGCGAGAGGGTCGAGCGGAGGGGGGAGAGGGGTGACTGACAGCCGTCGTCGCGGCGGGTGTGGGCGGGCGGGCAGGCGCAGATGCCGGGGCCGAAGAGCGGGTCGACACACGCGCAGTCGCCGCCGTCAAAGGCGCATGCGGGCGTGTTGCACGCCGCATCGCACACCCCGTTGGCCAGCCGCTGCAGGCGACACCCCGGCGCACACTCGTAGGTTGCCGTGGTGTTGGTGGGGCCAGCGGTGGTAGTGTTGGCAGCTGAGAGGTTTGTGGTGTTGGTGACGACTGTGGTGTTATTCACAAAACCTGCATTTTTTCGTGCAAGGAAAGCCAGGGGACGGGACAGGAGATGCGGAGAGGAGGGGTTGCGGGTTGGAAAACGACGGAGAGAGGGGGGCGAGCCGTGAAGGAGGAGAGAGGATGGGGAGGATGGAGGCAGGAAGGTGTACTGGGATGGGAGGCAGCAGCTGGGAACGTTGGGGAGAGAATGCACACAGGGCGAGTGAATGCAACCGAAAGGGAGCGCGCATAGGAGAGCTGAAAGGCTCAAGAGAGCTGAAAGGTGCAGGAGAGCTGAAAGGCACAAGAGGGCTGAAAGGCACACAAGCAGTGCTGTGCTCACCAGCAGTTGCATCCACCCCAGCCCTTGCAGGCAGCACTGTGAGAATGCTAGTGGCCATGGAGGTGAAGGAGGAGGAGGAGGAGGAGGAGGAAGACTGGGAGTCCCCAGCCGCGCCTGGCAGAGTGCCATCCTCATAGTGGACGGTGATTGGCTCTGCAAACACCTTGCTGTACGCAAAGGTGCCCAAAGGCTCGTCGTCCATCCCTGGTGGGGGAAGGGGGTGCGGGGTGGGGTGGGGGAGAGGGTGTTGTAGAGGATAATGGGAGGAGTGAGAAGGATAATGGGAGGGTGATGCATCAGCAGCAACAGGCCAGGGTGCTGAATTGAACAAAGTAGGCTAGACATAGCTTGGTGTAACGATTTGCCAAACCAGCAGTGACCTAACCACCACACACTCTGTCTGTCGGTCACTTGTTAGAGATAGAGGATAGCGTTCCGGTTAGGGGCCTGGAGTTGAAGAAACTCTAGAACCCTACACTTGAAACTCGTACTCATGCTTACATCACCAACCACACCCCCCCACAATTCCTTAGCACGCACGGCACCAGATTTTCGCTCACAGACCATGGCTCATTCACCAAAATTGAAACTGGCAGGTGACAACTCAATGACCTTATGATGAATGAATGAAGTATGCATCACTGATGCTCGAAATGGTTATGCCATTCTTCTCTAGTTTGTTTTTAACCCCTTTTCTTCACAATGTTTCCTTTTAGACCCTAACTCCAATTTTCCATGCTCTAAGTTATGTACCTCCTCCGCCACTCTATTCATGGAGCAACTTAACGTCATTCTCACATCTCTAGACCACCTTTTTCAGGTTCGAGAGATTGGAGATGGTAGCAAAGGTTGCGACGCCCAATCCCACCAAGCGGATTTGCATTTAATTGAGAAATGAGTTTGCCGTAAGCTCTCAAAGTAACAGATCATTGGCAACGCATTCACTCAAGAGCAAGCACGGCACCGATTCGTCTTTCACTTACCATACCACGGCACCGGGACTCACGTAGCACGCACGGCACGGGATCGTCACTCATGTCACCAGCGCCCACGTTCATGGGAGTGCACACCATCTGCCGTGACACCGTCAGGCGGTGCCCTCCAAAGCCCACGAACAGCGGGTCGCCCGCCTCTCCCATCCCGGACACTGGTGGTGGTGGCAGTGATGGTCGCGGGCGGCAAAGGGATGGTGGAGGCACAGGGGTGGTGGGGCATGAGCTAGTACACACCATTGGGAAGTACCATGGGGCACAAAGAGTTGTCACAAAAACAAACCACAATCACTTGTTTTCTCTACGAAGCAATATAGGCACGGATGCACACACGAAGTAGTGGCGCGAATGGGAAGTGGTAGAGATTTGAAGACAAAAACGTACCTCTGATGGAGTGTGGGAGGTCGTCATCCCACACCCAGGTGACTTTGTCGCCCACATGAATGGTCGTGTTGTGAGACATGCCTGCCCGCCACTGCAGCCATGCACCGCCTGAAAGGAGACAGAAAAGGTTAAGGAAGTGGCTCCGGTCAAACATGATCCGTATATGGTGCCATGAATGACAGCAACACTCAGACATGCACATAAAAATGCATGCACACACGCAAGCGCGCGCAAATGCATGCACGCACGCAAGCACGCGCACGCACACACACACACACGAGCGCGCACGCACACGCACACATGCACAAGTGCGCATGCGAACACACCAACCACCCACCAGGACCACCGGGCATGAGCACCTTGTGAGCAGCCGACAGAGTCGGAGGTGACAACCGCATCGTCGAAGGAGTGCATGAGCGTGTTGAGGCGTGCAGCGGCCTCATCTGCCATGAGCGTCACCGACCTCAGCGCCGCCACCATGGTCTGCACGAAGCGCCGCATGTGCTGCGCTGAGATCACACGCCCACTGCTCACATGCGTGCGCTGCAGGTATGCATACATCTCACCAGCCTCCACCACCTGCTTCCCTGCTTCATCCGTGAACCGGCACTCATCCATCGTCGTCACAGGCCCCCCCAGCATCGTGCAAAAGCATGCCACCATGCGCCACCGCACGCTGCCCAACCCTCCATGTGTGTGGTTGCTCGCTCCCGCTACTAGCCTTGCCTCTGCTCCTGGTGCGCGCCCAGCCAGGCAGCGGTCCTTGGCCATAGTGAAGAGTGCTCGCGACACCGCCACCTGCAGCGCTGTCAGTCGCTGGCGGTCCGTGGCACCCAGGAGGGACCAGAGCGAGGGCAGTGTGGGGTC